CAAGGATTAGTTTGGAGATGACTTAATGAGCATTAAAAGGAACTCCGTCTTTCTCTGAATGTGAATAAGCACAGTGTGGTTGTTCCTGGGAGACATTATCATGAGAGAAACTAGGAGACGGATAGCTAAAGTCTCTGAGAAACAAAGTCAGTGCCTGGATCTAATTGTTCCTGAAGCTGTTAAGAGCTCAGTGACCAATAAATATCTTTGTGTTTTAAGCAGATTTGCATTGGGCTTTCTCTGACAGTCCAGACAACTTAAAGCATCATGATCCATGCTCCTCTTCCTCCCACCATTCTCTTATCTGGCTAACTTTTGCCCAGTCTTAAATGTTACTTCCTCAAAGAAGCTTTTCCTGACTTTCTAAGACATAGTTCTGTCTTCCTTTCTTTGTTTTCCTTGTATTGAAGTCTTTTCCTCCTGTACACTTGTCACAATTATAATGGGTGATTATATTTAATATCCTTCTACCATGGACTGTCAATCAGTGACAGTGTGCCATGTCTGTCTGGTTCACAGCTCTTGACCCAAGCTCTGACATGTACCTCCTGAATCCCCAGAATATGTTACTAGCTAAAATCCAATTTCTGTCAGTGAATCTAATCTCCATGGAGAGGATGTGTGGGTTATGTTTAAGAGCTCCATTCCAATGCAGGTCAGAATCCTGGATCAGAAGCCTCAATCCTCTATGTTACTATTTTTGTTTTGTTTGTTTGAGAGAAGTTACTGAAAATTTTCAGTAACTTTAAGCTTCCATTTCTTTGTTTTTAAAATGAGGATTATAACAGTATCTGATCCATGGGGTAATTGTGAGAACTGAATGTCATGATGCATGTAGTATGTCTACTGCAATAATAAGTACTCAATATTTTATATCACATAGTAAATAATAAAGATATCACATGATAATCCCACATGTAGCTATCGGTTATCATTATTACAATTGGATTTCCACTTCTTGAATCGCAAAATCCGATTTCTCTTAATTCTGCTCCAGTGCTTTTGAGGGGCCTTTCTTATGAATGATTTAACAATTTACATAGAATTGACCGAATGCTAGATTTTTAAAAATTATTATTATTTCTACTTGATTCAGGTTCTTGTGTAATCGGGTTCGTTGGAACAACTATTATTCTTCAAAAACGAAAATGGATTTGGAGGAGTATTTATATTGATTTATTGTTGGTTGTTTGTTGAAATGTAAATAGCCCTGAACGTGCCACTCACTGGGAAAGGACAGTGCTTTTCATAACGGACAAAATCGCCTTGTTTCACTTTAATAACCTGCTTGTGGTCAAACCAGTCATGGGATTCCTCAAACACTGAAGAATGCCTGCTATTGTCATTTGCATGTCAATGAACAGACGTTCTCTGCTCCTTGCCATTTATTACACAGCACTGCCGGTTTCCTAACTTGGGGACTGCTCTGTTTAGATGCGAAATGCTCATGTCTACCTCTTTCAAACACACAGCGTGTCCCAAGCACAGGCAACAGCTGCTGAGGCGGTTCTCCCACTTCTCTGTTGTGTTTTTGTGGAAGTTGTAAGGGTGAGAAATAGGTTGCCCACCCCGATATTATATGGGCATATATGTATGTCTTTCTTTCATAGCTTTATGCTGTGAACAATCATTTTGAGTTTTCAAATTGGATTCACGTAAGAATAAAAATAGAGCATGGGATTACCCAGGAAATCCAGACTTTAAAATTCCAAAGAAAACAACCTAGAACTGATTCCTCCACTTATCATCCCATTTCTGCCAACACCTTTTCCCAGAGTTGGAAATGGTCTTTCTGTTCGACTGACTTGGAAAGAAATGGCATGTTATCTCTCCCGGAAGGGCCACTGAGGGAAATGAGGTTGAATGCAGAGTTTTGTGATTCTAGATGGATGCCCAGAGCAGCACAGAAAGTGGGGACTGCAAATTGAATGATGATCATCCCTAGCCTTCCTTGTCTAGTCCTAGAATAATTCCTTTAATCATGGTTTTAAGAGACCTTAATTGCCATGCAGCATTTAATAGCAGTTTCACCAGAGTCACAATATGGACATGGATTTAGTATTCAGAGAGGTTTAGTGGGAATGGGAAGCTAAAGACACTGTCTCCCAGCCCTCTCAGGCTAGTTATTGTGTTCCATCCTGTGAAAAAACTAATTTTGGTAAATACCTGTATGTCCCCAGATTTTTGTTGTTGTTCAATTGAAAATTGATTATCACCACCCCTAGTGGCACATCCCTTATAAGCCTAGTGGCTCCAGAGGATCCATCGTAGGAGGATGGTAAGTTCAAAGCCAGCCTTAACAACGTAGCGAGGCCCTAAGCAACTTAGCCAGACCCTGTCTCAAAATAAAACATAAAAAGGGCTGGAGATGTGGCTCAGTGGTTTTACGCTCCTGGGTTCAATCCCTGGTACTAAACAACAACAAAAATGATAAAAAAGAAAATTGATTATCAATATTATACTCTTTCTTAGAAAAAATCAAGAACTCACATTCACACACAGGAAATAGCAATGATCATAGATGTTTTCTGCCTGGGACTGTTCTAGATTCCATCTGGGAATTAAGTCGGCTAACTCTCTTCCACAACCATACAACGAGAGACATAATATTATTATCCAATTTTTTTCTGTTGAGCCGCTGAGGCAAGGAGCCGTCCAATGACTTGCCCATGGCAGAAGTGCGTATGTGAAAAGCACCGTCTGTCTCTGCTACGGACGTGTGATACTAACCAGAGGCAGCAGCTGCTAAGGCAGTTAACCAGCTTCCCTACTGTGATTTGTGGAAATTATAATGGAAAGAAATAAGTGGACTTCCCCCACTATCTTGCTATACAGATTCAAGTAAATGCTGGAGCTACTAATGAAAACATTAATAACCCCTATTAATTGAGTGCTTCCTAAGTTCCACCACCACTTTTCTATGGGCTTTCTGTGTAGAGAGGATTCCCAACTTGACAATGGCTTGACTTAATGATTTTTTTGACTTTCAGATAGTATAAAAGTGATATGCACTCAATAGAAACTTTAGTTTATATTTTGAATTTTAATCTTTTCCCAAGTGCTGCAACCCGGCTGGGCACAGAATCACAAGCCACTCAAGCAGGAACAAAATTTTATTTTTAAAAAGGCCGCCAATGCCCCGTGCGTGCCAGGCTAGCAAGCTGGTCCACATATGTGGGGGGCCGGACTTCCCCCCCCCGAATTCCCGCCTACTATCCTTCCCCAACCAATGGGAACTCTCTGGGAGTCCCGTAACATGAGTCCCATAGCAGAAAGAGGTGAACAGCAGGAGTCCAATTTCCATATGAATTAATTTCCATATGAATGTAAATCTTAACATAATCATATCATCTCAATGGCTAGCTGGCAGTCACCTTAACCAAAGGTGCCATGCATCATAATACTTTGCTGTGGCTCCTAGCACCCAAGCTAGTGCCATGGTGTGACATTCTCTGATAGCTGGACATGGCAGTGAGCTCATACCCAGGTGATCACAAGAGTGAACAACCGGTCATTTGCAGTGTCCTGAGTTGCCAGTGTTTTCTGGATACAAGTATTCAATAAATTTCATGAGATATTCAGCACTTTATTATAAAACAGCCTTTGTCTTGGGCACGATGGCAAATGCTTGCATTCACAGCTACTCAGGAGTTTGGGGCCAGAGGATAGTTCAAGCCCAAGAGTTCAAGGACAGCATGGGTAATGAAGTGAGACCTGGTTCAATAAAACATATAATAAAATAAACAATCAGATACTATGTATAAGTAAAATTAGGCTTTGTTGTTAAATGGTTGTACACAACTTCTAGCTAATGTCAGTGTTCTGGGCATGTTTAGGTTGGGCTAGGCTGAGCCATGATGTTTGGTAGGTTAGGTGTGTGAAATGAACTTTGACTTATGATCTTTTCAATTTATGGTGAATTTATTGGAAAGTAAGTTGAGGAGCATCTGTCTTAGTCCTTACAAAAGGCTCAAGAGAGTTATTTTTATGCTTATTTTGGGGGTGATGGTTTCTAAGGCAGACAGAGGGAACGCTGAGCCCTAACTCATTTCTGGAAAATAAGAGAGCAGGGATTTGAACTCCTGAACTTGTGTGATCACCACTAATCGGTAGCTCCTCTAGATGGGAAAACTCTTCCTCCAGGCCTCTGGGAGAATGGCGTGGGCCCCCACACTGTGGTGGCTGCCAAGGGCACGAGCTCACCTATTGGGTTTCTTCTTCTTCTGCCAAACCTCAGGATCTTTCCTGAGATCCCTTCCCTCCATCCCACACAGGCTCCCCTGCTCCAATTTCTTTAAGAGCTGACTTGGGCTTGTTGGCAGCTGGCCAACTGAGAGCCTACTTCACAACAACATGGAGCGGGAGCAAATGAGTTAATATGTTCCAGATACTTACATATTTTTGGCATAGAATCTAACCAATATAATCACAGCTTATTATCTTTCACAGGCCACAATCATTCTTTTATTCGTTCAATAAACATTGAGTGGCTGTGATGGCCTGGGCACGGTGCTTTAGGCTGACATTAGTATTTGCGATGGAGTGTTTTGGAAATGCAATGCCCCATTCATCCGAGGGGCTTTAATGGTGGAAGCCTTTGGCACTCTGGCCAGCAGGCTTTTTGGCTCTTCTCAAGTCTCATTAATTCAATGGCCATTGACTGCTTATCTGAACGGCTGGTCTCACTGGCACCACCTTTGAAAAAAAAGTGGTAGGATTTGATTCCATTGTCAAAGAAGGGAAGAAAATGACTTGTCTGGGGTTAGATGACTCCACCCCCACCCCCAATTCTACAGGATGGCATTTTTCAGACGGAAAAAACAAAATTTATAAAATGAAACATAACCGATAGGAAATTCTGCTTCCAAAGAGAATTTTCCATTTGCCTCTATGATGAAATCAGGACAATGTTCTTGTCATTTTTTTTTTTTCCTTTTTTTTCTAGTTGGTTTGTTTCAATGACGGGTTTTTTTTTTTTTTTTTCTTTTGTCTACTTCCAGCCCATTAGGAAGCCTGCTTCTTTGGACAGGACCTGCCCCTGCATACAGCATTGTTTAGTTTTAGCTTCTGAACCTTGTCTCGGAATCTCATACAGGACGTCTGGGTTCTGCTAGTGCTTTTCTTGGTGGAGAGTCCTCTCTGACTCCAAAACAACCAATTTTGAAGCCATGAACATTTCGGGGACTCGGAGCTGCAAAATACACAACACACAGCGTTTTTTGAGATCTAATGAAGACTCTGTCAGGCCTGATTTGGATCTTTTTAATGAGGGTCTGATTGAATTTACCATCTCCACAACAGTTGTGGGTCTTTGGGGCCAGTCAATGAGTTCCTTCCCTGTTCTGCACAGGGGCACCGATGGCCTTGACTTGTCAGCACCAACAGTGGTGTGCCACAAGTTGTCAGGGGCCACACATTTGGTGGATGACTTACTAGGTCATCTCAGATAAGCCCGTTGAATCTTTCTGTGTTTGGGGTTTTCCGTCTGAGAACACAGGATCACACACACTGGGCTTCTCTGGAAAGTGCTCCGAGGGAGGACAGAGGTGTGCTGCCTAAGGGGCTCTTGTGAAAGAGCTTTGCCTCACTTCTCATTAGAAAGAGTGTCATCTTGAGGTGGTTTAGCAACTTTTTGGCAGGATGGTCCGAGGAAAAGGACTTGCTGAAGAAACATCAGAGCCAAAGGAAGGGAGGGTCCTTCCTGGTATTTCCTCTATTTCCTAGTGGACTTCTCCAAGGGCTCATGGCTACTGTTATTTCTCTAGGAAAACCTGAAGTTGGAAGGACACCTTTTGTGAGTCCCGAATTAAATGTAGCCACAATTGAAAAAAGACGTTTCTATGTGCTCAGCTTCAAATCATCAATGATCAACAACCTCTTGGTGGTGGTTTGGTTCTTTCGCTCCGAGGAGACGACTTCAGTGTGGAAGGTGGCCCTGTAGCTGCTTGTCATTCAGAGCACATAAACAATGGTGCCCGTGTTGCCAGTCCTTGGAGTTCTGGAGGTCAGTACCCTCTGGTTTTGTCCTTCTATGTTATGATCCAGATGGCCTTAGATCTCCAAGAGCAGATATGCTTTGTTTTTTTTTTTTTTTTAATTGTTCCTATTTCTTTATTTTAATTGTATAATTTATTTATTTATTTTTTATTGGTTGTTCACAACATTACAAAGCTCTTGACATATCATATTTCATACATTAGATTGAAGTGGGTTATGAACTCCCAATTTTACCCCAAATGCAGATTGCAGAATCACATCGGTTACACATCCACAATTTTACATAATGCCCAATTAGTAATTGTTGTATTCTGCTACCTTTCCTATCCCCTACTATCCCCCCAGATATGCTTTGTAAACAAAATCAACATTTACTTTGGGGTGATTAAAACGGTTCCAGTAAATTCCTTTAATAAGAACCCTGCGTGGAAATACCTGAAGTCGGAGAATGGTGTTGCTTCCAATAACTTGCAGTTCCTGCATTTCCAAACACGAGTTGAAAACTTTTCGGGGATGTAAGTGAAACTTAGTGGAACCCTTTATTTCCCAATTACTATCTTGCTTACCTATTCTTCCCCACCCCTTTGAAACTACCAGAGTGAGGCCTGTTCCTTCATCTGTGTGAACTTCCCACTGGCCACCCCCACGATTCTGAAAACCATCCTGTTTCCTCCAAGGGAATCATCAGATCTCAGAGTGTGATTGCTGCATGGTGGTGGGCTGTTCTTCTCTGCCTGGGCCTGCCCACGTTTCCTTACAGAAATGTAAACAGAGGTGCTGCAGTTTTGCCCCAGAGCTGAGGGTGGGACTTTGTGTCAGTAACATCCCCAAAGGGAGACAGGAAACATTGCTCCTCCCCCTGATGGATTTGCAGGAGGAGGGGCTCTCACTGTTCTTGAGAACAATGAGGGCTCTTTGGGGGTAAAAAGCCACCTAGTAAGAGCTGTGACAATTTTTCAGTCTGTGTTACTCCATCCTTTAGAAATTGCCAGCAATGTCATTTCTGCCTGTCTCATGGGGAAATAGTTATGTGGTTAGAGCTTTAAATCAACAGTTAGGTTTATAGTGTAGTGTTTATACCAGCTCAGAACCCGAATGGATCTAAACACCCAGTCAGAAGAATCTGATAAAATGAATTATGAGGTCCATCTCTCTCTCTCTTTTTCAGATATATATATATATATGTATTTCTACCATTTAAAAATGGGGATGTAAAACAGTGGCTTTGAAAAGCTTTAGTGAAAGCTAGAAGCCCTCCCCCAGAAAAAATATTCATATGGTCAGCATTTTCATATCATATCAGGAAATTTCAACAAATACTTGTCCGTCACTAGAAGGTTAAGAATTCTTAACATATAGAACTGAGATAAATCATATTTAATAATTTGGATGAATGGAGTAGTAGCACAAACAGGTTACAAAAGAGTATAATCCTGTCTTTGTGAAAAAAAAATAAACCCCACTAAATATGTAAAGAGAAAGCTTTGAAAGGCAGACTGTGAAGAGGTTAGCCAGGGCTTCTCTGGGCTGATATTATCCTTTCTTTTTCTCTTCTGCCTTCCATTGTTCTTTCATTTCTTTGTTCTCTTCTTTCTTTTTTTCCCCCTCCCTTTATTTTTTGCTTATTTATATCTTCTAACCTTTCTACAATTAACATAAAACTGCTTTGGTAAGAAGAAATATGTCAGACAAGTTTGTTTGGATTTCTTTTGAAAAAGGGCTGTCCTCCCTCTGGCCAGTGTGTTAGAAAACCAGGGGACATTTTTAGCTCCTTTTTTTTTTTATTCAGTAAGTGATGAAATTCGAGGAGAAAGGGACATTAGAATGAAGGGCCACTATTTCGGAGTGAGATTTAATTAGGACCATATGAAAGGAGAAGAAACAGTTTGATGGGCTTCTCTTTAACATGAAGTTCAGGAAAAAAAAAAACATAAGAAAAACTCAAACTGAATCAGAACAAATTCATACATCTCAAAACCATGCACAGTGACCCAGAAAAGCTTTTCTATGGGTGGCCCTTTGGCTTGACATCAAGAAGAGCTGCATTTCCCTTCCCCAAGGTCCTCTGGGGTATCTACTGCAGCTTGATGCCTTGGGGGATGGTGGGTCAGAGGTCTATTCCCAGAGTTCCTATTTCTTTTGCCTTAGAAGGGGTCTGGGAGAAGTCTTTCCATTTTTGAAGACCTTGTTCTCTCAATTGGAAGGTGAAATTGGCACTTTTCTCTGCAAGTGTTTAAGAACAGAGAAGTTCATTTTTGGACCACGAGGACATTTGCTCAGCACTCACACCCACTTTCTTGAGTGATAGGGTGACTTCATCTCCCTTTGGGAGACTCTCATCTCACACTCTGAATTGCTGTGGCCTGAGTGGGGCTGGCATCAGCCTCCATCCAGTCTCCGGATGACACACGACTCAAGCTCGGTCAGTTAGGGATGCCCCTCTGTCTCTGTCTCTTTCCCTCTGTCTCTGCCACAATGTTGGGCTCAGAGATGGGTCTCTTGACCCATTAGTGAAATACAAAGAGAACTTTTGATAGAGCCAGCGTTTCTCAGCTGGGAGAATATAAGCCTATAATTGTTGAGGAACCTGCAGAAGAATGAAGGCCAAACAGCCCAGCAGAGCCACGTGAAGGAAGAAGGTGGGGTGAATATCAAGTTCTGGGACTTCCTTTGGGCCCAAGATCTACATGTGCCTAAATCAAACTTGGCAATCATTTCCATTTTTTTTTAAGCCATTTTGAGTTAAGTTTGTTTCCCTTACGACCAACTGGGTTCTGATTAATATGTTTATTTCATAATAAAAATAACAATTGAGTGCTTCTCAAGTGACAGACACTGTAAATCCTTGCCATGCATTTTCAGTCAGTTCTACCATAAGTGAATTAAAGGAAACAGGTTCAGAAAGGTTAAGTCACATGCATGAGATCCCTCCAACAATAGTCGAAGATCCAGATGCAAACCCAGATATGTCTGATTCTAAAATCCCATCTCAACCAGCATGGTATCAGCTCGGCAGTGACCCGTGATCGAAGTTAGGCCCAACAGCCGGTGGACTGCACAGTGGGATCATTTGTTTTTTAACTGCTATTTACAGAGGGGTGCACTCAGGCTCACAAATGAGCACCTACTGAGCATGTGCAATCCTAGGGGTCAAACTCTTCACCTTCAGGTTCCTTATCAGTGCCTCCTTTTGTTATCTTGTTTTGCTTTCTGAGTACCAGAACAAGGTTCAACAGAAGAATCCCACCTGCTTCTGTGTCTTCATTTTGCAGCCTAAGAGTGGGTGAAATGTCTGACACACACCCTACAAGTGCTTCAACCACAAAAGAGCAGAGCTGGGTGGGGTTCTATAAATCCAGAGTGGGCTTTCTTTCCATTAATAAAATGAAAATAAGGAGGTCTGTCATTTCAGTACTGCTCTTCTCTAGGGTAGGGTTTGCTTACATTTTATAGAACACAAGAGTTCTCTCTTGAAAATGAAAGAAAACAAGGTAAGCACTAGCCTGGGAAATATGGTTTTGAGTCTACCTCGGAGGTTTGTGCTGTACTCATAACATCCTGTTCTTCTCGACTGGTTGTGATGTGGTTGATAGCAGCTCCTGCCCAGGGTGTGAACAGCTGAGCTCAGTTTTCATAGAGATGTTGATGGTAAGGAGGAGGAAATGAGCCACTTCTCCCTGCCCCTTTGTCACTCTGACAGTTAAGGATGGGTACAGCCAGGTGCTTTGATAGTACACTTTCTATTTTACTTAAAATTAGGTCTTTCATTCCTTTGGGATATTTGGTAAACTAAGATTTTACTGGGAACCCAAAAAGTATTAGTAAATAGAAAAACTACAAAAAAAAATTAAAAAGGAAAGAAAAGAAATCATGTGGTTATCAAAGGAGGAAACTGCTGATCTGTTGAGCCTTGCTCCTGTAGAGTCAGGGAAAGAAGAGTGGCTATTGGGGAAAGATGGGGGGTGGGGAAGAGGGGAAGCCTGATACTGAGAAAAAAGTAAGTATAAGTGAAACCATTTACCTTCCTAGACAATGAGATTTCAGACTGCTGATCTACTCCCTAAATGGTTTTTTTTTTGTACAATATGTTTGTGTAAGCTTTTAAGTGGACTTTGTGTCTAAAACTTACATCTATTGCAAGGATGTAAATGTAATAAAGAATAACATCTCACTTCTGTGGTCAGGGAGTTGACCTACAATTAGCTCACAAGTAGAATAGGATTGACTTCTGCAGGTCACATAAAAAAGACAACGTTTCCCTTCTGTCTTCTCAATCGAGTCACAAAGTCACTGCTTGGCCATCCAGGAGCTGGGCAAAACAGCAGGGTGTGTCTTTTGATGGTTTCTGTTAGAGAGCACAATGGATGTACAGTGATTGTATTTCTCATCAGGTAGTTGCAAACCTTGCCTCATCACTGCAAGAAAGTGCTTTTTAAAGGCTTTCTAAAAAAGTTCAAGGGAAGTTCAAGAAAATGCTTTAAGAAGAATAGAGAGATCTTTCGTCAAACTGATACCAACTGAATAGAAATACATCAGAACAAGGTCCGGCCATCTGTAATTTTATGGAGGTGAATCTTATAATGAACTGGGGAGACACTGTTCTAGACTCCCCTCACTGGGATAGATAAACTCATCAGATTATCAGCTTCCGCCACTCATTCATTGAAATCTGGAGACATGACTCCTGGGCAGGCCAGTTCTGTCTTCTGTTAGGGGCCCAGGTAGGAAGTAGAAGTTCAAGATTAGAAGAGAATGAGGGTAGTGAAATGACAGCTGATGCGAATAGTCACATGCCCATTGATTCATTCAATCATTTAATTAACTGCCATTAATTGAGCAAAAACCAATACTTGTCAAGCACCGTGCCAGGTGGTGGGAAACAAATTTACCTTAGGGACAGTCACAGTTCTATGGTACATAAAAAAAAAAATTATACAGAGAGGGAATGATCAGCTCTCTCTGGATGGGAGGAGAAGATGTGATAGGAAATCATAGAACAGGTAACACCTGAACAAGGCGTTGAAGAAGGAAAGGGAGATGATTTGCCTGGGAAATGGGCACAATCTTAGACTGAGGCAATAGCTTGAACAAGGACACAGAAAGGCCTGGTGGGTCTAAACAAGTCTGTGCAATTTGCTAGTACAGTGTGAGAGAGAAAAGTGGTGGGCTGTGATTTGGTGATCTGGCAGCATGCACACCATGCAGCGTCTTGAATGCCTGCTTTGGTTTTAGGGGAAAGCACTTGGCACAACTCAAAGACCTGAACTCATAAACAGGGAGCAGAAGAAAATAGAGGTTGCTGTTAAAGACACAGGTGAGTAGGAGCATACTCTGGCTTTCATTATGCCCATACCTTGAGATTGGGGTTGTAGGAGTTTACCTCTAAAATATGCTCCATATAATAATATGGCAACTCATGACTTTTAGGGAATTGCTTTGCTTTTTTCCTAAGCTGAAGAATATGCTTTAAAAAGAGAAAAGAGAAAAGAAAAGAAAACCACTTCTAGCTTCAATTTTAAAATGCCTTAATTTGAGAGACCATTAGTCATGAAGGTGTTTCCATAGCAAATGTGTGTGGGATGTCCTAGCTTTGTTGGCAATGGTTCAAGGGAACTTATATCATTAAATTGGGACAAGGCCTGGCATGATGGCTAGAAAATTCATGGCACTGTTCCCATAGCATGAGGCCTCCATTTAAGGGCAAGATAAAGGAAAGGCAAAGAGCAAGAGGAGAAATGCTGGAATGAAAACAAGTAACAAAGGAAAGATAAAAATGGAAATCACAGTTCAGTGTGAATAATAGGAATGCAAATGGTGCCACTAAAATAGGAAGGAACGTTACTTTTCAAAAAGGCAAAGCAAAGGAAAATTGTAGTAGCAAAAGCATTTTGCATGGTAAAATTGTACACTGTGTATGCCTCTCAGAAGCAAAGCCACCTACTCTAATTTTTCCCAGCACGATGCCGTGATGCTGTGAACTTGGTGAGTCATTTTATGAAGATTTACTACAAAGCCCCAATCTGCATATTTTTTTTATAATACATTTCGATTAAATCTTTTTTTTTTTTTTCCAGCAGTAGTCCAAATAGCCCATTTTATGGCCAAAATTTCTCATCTGGGCTGGGATGTAATGCACTTTAAAAAAAAAATCAGTAAGTTTATGAAATGATCCCTAGGGCTTTTTATTAAGTTAAAAAATATTGTGGGGAGAAGTGTCTATAGTATGCTAGCCTTTAAGAAAAAGTAATCTGAATATAAATTTGCTTGCATTAAAAAAAATCACAGAAAATGTTTATTCATGGGAGAGCGAGGAAATGGATTGGAAGACACAGAAGCTAGATGTGTCTGAATATATTTTGTTTTTGTTTTTGTTTCAAAAGCATATAAATATTTAACATGATTATAAAAAATTGATCATAAAATGAAGCAATTTTTTTTTAATTTGAAAGGAAAATGATATAAATGAAACCAAATCTCAAATGAGTGGCTTAATCTCATGCAGAAATTATTTCAAGTGACGCAGTCTATAGATATACCCTAAGAAAAATGGATAATTCACTGTTGGTGGGAATGTAAATTAGTACAGCTAGTATGGAAAACAATTTGGAGGTTCCTTAAAATACTAGACGTAGAAATACTATTTGATCCAGCAATCCCATTGCTGAGGTTATAGCCAAATGAAAGAAAATCAGCCTGTCAAAGAGATATTTGTACCCCCATGTCTATTATTATTCTTAGCAGCCAGAACACGGAATCAGCCTAAATGTCCATCAGCGGATGAAGGATAAAGAATATGGCATATGTACCCAATGGTGTATTACTCAGCCATAAAAAAAATGAAATCTTGTCATTTGTGATGACATGGTTAAGCCTGGGGGACGTTATGTTAGTTGAAGTAGTCTAGCACAGAATGGCAAACATTCTTTGTTCTCATTCATATGTGGAAGTTTATCAGCAAATTGATTTCAAAGGAGCAAAGTGTAGAACTGAGGTTACTGAAGGTTGGGAAGGGTGGGGTGGTGATTGGCGAATGGTACAAAATTATATCCATAGAAGACAAATAAGTTCTAGTTTTCCATAACACAGTAGGGTGACTATAGTTAGTGATAATTTGTTATATATCCTAAAATAGAAGAGAGAATTTTGAATGTTAGCACCACAAGGAAGTGATAAATATCTAAGGTGATGGATATGCTAATTATCCTGATTTGAATATCACTTATTATTGAAATATCACACTGTACACCATAAAATGTACAATTAGTATGTTCAATTAAAAAGAAATCAAGCTGTTTTCTTAATATTATTGTTGGCGATAATATTGTTTTTGTTTACTTCCTTTCCTCCCTTTCATCATTTTTTTCTTCCTTAAAGATAGAAATATTTGGCCATCAATAAAATAGTACCTGCAATAAATTGAAACACATCAAGTATATTTAAACCTATAGAGATATTGAGACACACGTGTGTAGGTACATCTCAAAAGCCAAAGACCATTGGTCATCTTTGGAGGGTGTTGGATAAATAATTCACAAATTTGAGAACCAGCAAATGAAGGGACAACATTGAAAATGTTTTTTTTTCTGTATATACTATATCACTGGGTAACCAAATAGAAAATAATTTGATTTGAATCAGAAAAATGAAGCAAAATTTGTAGATAATTAAAGGAATGTTAACAATGATTGAATAGTTAGCAATACTTTGTACTTACTGCTAATTATTTTTATTTTTGATAATTAATTGTGGTTATATATAAGAAAATATTCTTATCTTTGAAATGTGTATATGGGGGTGGTATACACTAAGCAATGTGATATCTTGAGTTTGCTTTAAAATAACAGTGATATTGAGGGGTGGGGTATTAGGTGAGGGTATATATAAAACAGAATTGACCAGAGGTTTATAATTATTGAAGGTGATACATGGCATTTATGATCCTATTATTTTATTTTTGCATATATTCGAATTTTTCACTTAAACAGCTTCAAATAGATTAATTGCTTTGCTCATCTTTCTGGCCCTGTAGCCTGATAATCCTGCTTTCCAGTGTATTTTTATGTTCACGTGGGCAAGTGTTCAATAAATGTGTGGAGACCAGCGTTCTGTTGTTGTTGACAGAGTCTCTGTAGCATTATTCAATGTTCTCATTCTGGATGATGATTGGACCAGTAGAGAAATTGATTCTCAGCCAGTTAGTAGGTAGGTAACTCCTTGTGAGCAGTCATGAACTTTCAGACATCTGAGGTCTGGAGTACTTTTTTGAATTACAAGAAAGCGTTGCTTCTCAACCCAACTGCTCCCAAATTGGCATGATATAGCCTCGTGACTAGTTTAATTAAATGCAGAGAGACTCAATCATTAATTATTTTACCAGAAAGCAGTTGAGCTTATGATTACCTTTGTTTCTTTATCAGCCAAACTCATGTTTCAGTACATCGAGTTAGGTCACTCGGGGGTATTTGCTGTCATTCTGAAGGCTTTAATCTGTATAATCCTTCAATTATGATACATTTTCTTATATGAATTCATTGGTAGCTCCTGCCAGGTTTATTTCTTCTGAAAGAATAATTCTCATCTCTGATCTCCTGAACTGATCCTGAATTGTCCTCCCCCCACTTATGATTGCTTTCCACCTCTATTATTCTCCTCTAATTCCTGTGCAGTTTCTACACAGGAAATTGTGCTTTTAATTCTGTTTACTTAATTTCTTTTGTTTCTGCAGACAGAAAGAATTCTTTTTTTTTTTAAATTTATTTATTTTTTTTTTATTGTTGGTCTTTCAAAACATTACATCTTTCTTAATATATCATGTTTCACAATTTGATTCAGAATGGTTGTGAACTTCCATTATTACCCCGTATACAGATTGCTGAATCACATCGGTTACATCAGTTACATTTCCATTGATTTACACATTGCCATTCTAGTGTCTGATGAATTCTGCTCTCTAACCTATCATCTACTATCCCCCCACCCCTCCCCTCCCCTCCCCTCCCCTCTTCTCTCTCGACCACCTCTACTGTAAAACATTTATTCCACTTGTTTGTATGTGGTGCTGAGGATCGAACCCGGCCAGAAAGAATTCTTCATTTTATTTCTGGTGGTTTCTTTAAAAAAGAGAGAGAGAGAGAGAGAGAATCATACTGTTCAATCACTTATTTCATGGATAAAATATCTTCCAATGTTTATCTCCCAGTGTCATTTCTTAAAAGTTTTCTTCTGCTCTCTGAATTATCTCTGTTTCTGCAGTTTTGTGTATTCATTGTTGTTGTTATTGCTACTATTTTTGTCTTCGCTTCTCATATTTGCTAATCCTTGGTTGGCTATTCACATCTAAGAATGATGCTCTAAATAGCTGTTGATTGCTGTGTGCATTGAGGCTGAGTCTTATTGACTGCTGAACTTCTTAGTAACTGGAGTAGACAGAGTTTTCTGTTTTTTTTTAACTGGGGATCCCCAAAGGTGACATTTAAAAATATTTAATGTCTTATATGGTCTAGATGTCATTTCAGTCAGAGGAGACATCCAGCCAGCCAGGATGCATTAACCATAAAGGGCTCATATAAGAATACTGTATATATAGTCTGAATTCAACCCTATAAGTAGGGTTTTCCTTTGGGCCTAATGGTTTCCTTAGAGAGGGCTTTTTCAGACTCCTGTCTTGGTGAAATGGAAATAATAATCCTGCTGCTGAGGTTGGAGGGGTCCCGAATTTTAATGCAGTCTTTCGTTGAATCTGCTCTATTCCTTGTCCCTGAAACACAGAACTTTTGTGATTCAATGTTTTCAGAATCTTTTTTTTTCTTCTTCTGGTCTTCTTCAGGTAGGTATGAAGTAATCACCTAGTTATTGGTATGGGGAAAATTTGGGGGTTCTTATGTCTTTACCATTTTCAGAGATGAAACTCCAGTTGATTCCAATCATTCTGGGTTTCTTTTGTGTAAATTGTCTTGCTTCCTGGTTGTCAGTCCCTTTTTTAAACATTAAGTTAGCCTCTCCCAAACTATTAAATCAGTTACCCCTTATCCAAACACTTTCTTCTCTTTTTCGGTCCGGTGTCTTGGTCTTCATCTTTCTCTTTTTATTTTACAAACCTCATCTGCTATCATTTCTTTTCCAATTCTCTTTGCTCTTATTGGTTTCAAACATCTGTTTGTTTATGTATATGTATGTGAGCGTGCTATGTGGGTGTTTAATTTCCTTTAAAGTTTTTAGCAGTATTCTAAAAGGAAATAAAATAAATCTGTAAAGCTAATCCATTATGTTTAACTAGAAGTTTTATTTTAAGTTTGTAAGATCTTTCTTCAAACA